CACTGATGTTGTATTGCTTAATTTAGTCTTACCAAAAAAGCAAAAAATAAAAATAAAAAATAAAAAACACAGAAATGTAGATAACCCTGCATTTAAGAATAAGAAAAAATACAACAAATTTTCCCAAAATGAATAAAACCCATCAAATATTTAAGATGGTGAACTCAAAGGCCTTGAGGGAAAGAAAGTGAAAAAGACACAGATGTTTGAGCTTCCAGACTGTAGGCTGTTTATACTGAGTGTGGTCTGGGAGGACATTTTAAATGTTGGAAACCTCTGGAAATCCCATCATCTGATATTAGACAGAGCAGATCAGAAGCAGAAAACAACATAAACAAACTGAAAGAATTAATGTGGACAGTTCTGTAGGAACGAGAGCTCTTTGACAAAGACTTTAGTGGGGACATTTGCAGCTGGTTGTTATGAGGGCCTGTCAAGGGCTTTACACAGGGGGAGGACACTTTTTTTCCTTGACTTGGAGGCAGCTGATTCTTTCACAATGAAAAGCATTGGCACAATAACTCAAAGATGGTGTTTACATGAATACAGATACCACGTCAGCAAGTCAGAGAGTCTATTCAGGAATAAATTACTCAACAGAAATATTGCCAATCAACTAAAAAAGCAAATATATACTACTGCTTGGTTTTGAACAAATAAATAAAACTTTTTGTATCTTGGTCCATGTTTCATTTAGAATACAGAAGAATGAAGAGAGAGATGAAAACACAGAAATTAGAGTGTGAAGTGTAAAAGCAAACTCCAGTTTGTCACATGGTGCTACAGAATGGATTCAAGTAATGGTCAATGAATCATAAATTCCAGGTTACAGAGATTTTTTAATGGTAATAAACAATGGGCATATTAATAACTTTAAAAGAGTGATAAAATAAGAGTAAATTTATAAAAAAGATATTTTGTCAAGATTTTTCTCATCTTCTTTGGCCAGGGTAAGTCTTACATATATTAGAGCCCAGTAGATATTTGTTAAATTAATAATAAATAAGTGATATTGAACTACCAGAACTTCATGATCTACATGATACGAGATATACATAGCAATATATTCAATACTAAACAACATTAATGTTAGTAATGGTAAACATTTTAGTTTCTGTTGAAGACAGTCTTACCTAGTAGAAAACATGATCTACATTTGTAAAATATGTCTATCTCTAAATAGATGCTAACTTAAAATTTAATAGGAAGCACAGAATTTGATTTTTTTATGTCCCAGTTCATGAGTTAAGCATAAGTTAGAATACACTAGACCACACACTAAAAGTTTTTTTAAAAGCTGATAAATTTTGTGTGTATTGTAGTAGAGTTAAGAATACCACTGTGGTAATTCTTGGAAAATTTTCCAACTCTACAGGGGTGACTATCGAAATGACTTTTGGAACCCAGAGAATTAGGTTGAGAGTCAGATACTATGTAATTACAGTCAACATGTACAGTTCAGCTGACATCAATGGGTGTTTTTCTCACTCAGAATAGCAATATCTTATTTATTGTAATTTCCCAAACTTTTAGCAGTGTATATAATGGAAAATTAAAGATTTAGAGATGGGCGGGAGCAAAAGGGAATGAAAAGACAGACATAAAGCAATTTTAACATGTTTTAAAAATGAAGTACGATTTGACCTGAGCTTTAGATGTGGAAGAACATATGAACCCCTAAAAATTTCCCTTCTCCTATGGTCTTCTCAAGCAGAATTTAGAAACTCCCCCAGCAACAATTGTCTACAGCTAAACCAAACAGATGTTTGAGTGTGGCAGAAACAACACTGTAAAGGCCCAAACTACTTCACAGATGTTTATGCCTACAACTCACTGTCTTGCCCTGGGCAAGCCCCAGCCAGCAGATTTAATCTGCCAGCAACTTGAGTTACCTATCCTAAACATGGCTCCAGTGCCATAGGCAGAAATATTGAGATGCTTCTTCAAATCTCACAAAAATAAAATATAGCCTTATGAAAACTTTAAATGATTATAGTTTGAAGGCATTAAGTTTAGAAGTAAATGCATTGCATATATTTTTTCCTGAATGGCAATACAAATAATCTCAAATGAGTAACTATCAACTTGTACATTTATGGGTGTAAAAACTGACTTTCCTTTGTTTCACAGAGCATTAAGGTGAAGTATGAGGCTAGAGAGATGACTCAGAGGTTAAGAGCACTTACTACTCTTGTAGAGGACCTGCATTCAGTTCCCAGAATCCATGTCATTTGGCTTACAACTACCTATTACTCCATTTCCAGGAGATTCAGGGCCTTCTTTTGACTGCTACAAACACAAGGAAAATATGTGCAGGCACTCACACATACACAGAAAATAAAAATTGAAATTAAGATATGAAGTATAATGACTTATTATCCAAGAATTTTTAATGTAGCAATAATTCATAAAACACAGTTTGAAGAGCCACCTAACGGATACCTTCTCATGTGCTTATTTGTTATTTAATTATTATTTATTATACCAGAAAAAATTTGTCATGCCAAGAAACCCTGATGTTTCTGTTAAACTGTCTTCAAGGGGGTTAATGTCTCAGAGATTTCTTGACCAAACATCAGTTCTCTCCTTGCATTATAATAGTAAATTCAGAGCTAAGGAACAGATTAATCCATTGAAAACATAACAACTTTCAAAGTTTACTTACATATTCCTTGAGTACTTACTCCAGTGTAATAAAGTTATCATGTGTAGTGTGATGATAGTGGAGAGTCAAAGGCTCATCAGACATCATGGTTTCCATAGGCAACATCAATGCTCAGCTTAACACATGCCACGGGAGCTCCAGGACTCCTCTACATTAGTGTGTGGTGCTAATCAGGCAACGAGTATTAACTCTATTACTGATCACTCACACACACACACACACACACACACAGTGTGTATAAATAGTCTCCACAATCCACTTATTCATGCTACCATGGGAAATGACATACTCTCTGAAGGCTTATCTGTAAAATTTGCATAAAGATAAGCCCTCTGCCAAAGAGCTATGGGTACATTTGCTCAGCTAACATTTGTTCATTTCATGAGTTCATGGAAAACCAGACACTGAATATTACTAATAGTCACTGTTATCATTTTTCTGACTGCTCTAAACCCTGTCAATATAATATTTTTGTTCAGTATGCTGGAGTGCTATACTGCTCTTAATAAAACCCCAGGGTACACTGACATTCAAACTACAGCTTCAATCTTTCCTCAAAATATGAAGTCCTGTTAAATAGTCAAGTTGATAAATATAATTATTGCCATACCAATAATCCTTCCTGTTGTGGTCATATAGCTATAAAAATGAACCCAGTAACAAATTAATAGTAAAATATTTTCAACATTCTTGTTAAACTTTACAATAATACTCTGCCATTTCCCACTCATAGTATTTTTCTTACAGAAATTCAAATATTAATATCATGACACAAAATTAAGCTGCCCACATATTTTATTTACACATTGCTGATTAGTTTTTGCCCTTCAAAATTAGTAAAATTTTGCCATTGTTTGCGACCATCAACCAGGTCAATACACCTGATCTCGAAATTAGTATATATAATAAAAATATAATTAGCATCATGTAATAAACATCTTCATATAATAAGTATCACAACATTAATGGTTCAAATGTTAGTTGTTCATGCAGGTCAATGTATGGTGGGCATTTGCATTTAAACTGAGCTCTCACACACATTTAAGATGCACTAACAGAGTCTCCATTCAGATGTGATAATGGATGAGAACACTTCGAAATGAATAAAATTCTCAGCAAATTACTGTAGATTTAAGAGAAAATATTTCTGTCTTATTATCTAAATTCCCACATAAGAACAGCAAACACCAAACTTCTGTTTTCATTTATACTGAGAAAAACTTCAAAGATTTTTTCCAACAAATTATAACATTGGAAATTATGTTGGGAACCCAGAGAGCTAGACAAGTAACAAAGGAAGTTCAGGGAGATGACTCCTCGGAATTCAATTTCCATGAAACAATACATGTTTCATGGGCATGCATATACACACACACGTTTGAGAGAAAAATATACTATTTGACCTTAGCTAGATGTCTTATTGTATTATAATTACTAATTATTTTCTTAGTGTTTGTTAATGCATATTTGTTACATGAAATGGTGGGCTTCTTTCTGATATTTTCATGCATGAATATGATGGACTTGGATCATATTCACCCCCAGTTGTCTTTTTCTAACCCCTCATATTTACTGCTGGATTATTTCCTCTTTCAAACAGTCCTTCTTTTACTTTGATATGTCATCATGTCATCTATTGCATTCATTCATCCATCCAAAAATTAATCATTTATCAGCTTACTTGTCCATCAATCCATCCATCCATCCATCCATCCATCCATCCATCCATCCATCCATCCATCCATCTATCCACCTGTCAATCTACCCGTTTTGTAGGTTTTGCCCATTAGAAACAATGCAGTCCTTGTCTTTCTGAGTTTTTAATGTCATTTTTAGGTACATGCCTGCCTTAAATTCTTGACTCCTAGGTATGTGTGTCTGGCACCCATGAAACTGTCATGTTTTAAAACTCTGAACTGAGTGTAGAAAATATCCATTCATGATTTTCTTTCCTGCTTTTTTAAAATATATCTTCAAGGGGTGCATGTATATATTCAGAATCTTCTAGCTCCTACTTCCAGATATCCCCGTAGCAACTCCAACATTTCTGAACATACTAGCAACTGAACACAATTCTAATTTACTTGTGAAAACACTTTAAAATCAGTGTCAGAGATTTTGTGGCTCCTTGGGTTCTTTCCACTAGTAAAGGACAAAATTATACATTGTGACACTATCTACAGAGTACATGAAAACAGTGTTATACAAAATCATCATTTCAGTTCTTTGCTAGTAAATATTGCTATTATCAACCAAACTGCCTGCAAAGAATTTTGCCAGGATTTTGATGGGTCTAAAGATACAAATGGAGGATAGAATATAAGAGTGTACTTACCGGAGTCCTCAGTTCAGGAATGGCAGCTTGGTAGGTCAGTGGACGGCAGTCACGTGTGTTTGGCACAAGAACACAGGGCAGAAACATTGGTCCCAGGTCATCTCCATCTAGAATGTCCACTGTGAGGGTGGTCGTGGTTGTTCGCCTCTCATTCAGATTTTGTGCACGGTCCTGATGAGTGTAAAATGTACACACAAGCAATTAAACAACTAGGTGAGGCAAATACCAGGCATTGTTTAATTTTACTAATGCTTTTCTTTTAATGAATGATTAGTAACCTATTTAAATGAAGCATCATGTGGGGGGAGTGAGAAGTGAACTGTCAAATGGTTGTATGAAAACCTAGTTTTTTTAAAAGTACATTGGCACCACTAGTATGTCAGGTTAGACCTTTTCAATGCGTTAGAAAGAAAATGACATTATTTTGTCATGGGTTTCGTGTCTACTTGGGAATTAGCTTTATTGAATCACCCTTGAGACAGTGTGTAGAAAGAAGTCTAAGGTAGAATGAAGACCACTGTGGAAGCCATTCTGACAATGAATGCAATAACTTGCCAACAGAGTTGAACAAGAAGAAACAAAGCAGAACATACCTATTAGAGCAAGAGTTGTAAACTATAGTAATGTTTTAAATACATTTTTAAACATCTGAAGTACATTTAAATCTAACATAGCTTTTTAAATTGATGTGAGCTAATTTTTTCTGACTATGCCATTTAAATTGAAAATCTTGCAGACAATTGACTGACTACAGTTTTATAATTATGAAGCAAGGGCATGGCATACTAAAGACCAAGAGTCTAAATTATTTTGAGATTTCTTCTTCTTCTTCTTCTTCTTCTTCTTCTTCTTCTTCTTCTTCTTCTTCTTCTTCTTCTTCTTCTTCTTCTTCTTCTTCTTCTTCTTCTTCTTCTTCTTCTCCTCCTCCTCCTCCTCCTCCTCCTCCTCCTCCTCCTCCTCCTCCTCCTCCTCCTCTTCCTTCTCCTCCTCCTCCTCCTCCCCCTCCTACTCCTTCTCCTCCTCCTCCTTCCTCTTCTTCTGTTTGCTTTTGAGACAGAGTTTCTTTTTTAAACTCTCTTCATTATTATATTATGTATTTATATTAGAAACAAGCTTGTTTACCATGTCAGTCCAAGCTCCGTCTCCCTCCCATCCATGCCCGCTTTCCCTCACCATCCCCTCCAGCCCCCTCCCATCCCCACTCCGTTCTCCAGGGAGGGTAAGGCCCTCCATGGGGATCTCTAGAGTCTGTCAATTCATTCCAGGGAGGGCCCAGGAACTCCCCGAAGTGTCCAGATTGAGAGAGCATCCCTCATTGTGGGATGGGCACCCAAAGTCCATTTGTGTGCCAGGGTTAAATACTGATCTGCTACCCAAAGCCCCATAGATTGCCTAGGTCTCCTCACTGACTCCCACATTCAGGGGGTCTGGATCAGTCCCATGTTGGCCTTTCAGCCATCAGTCTTGGTTCCAAGATCTCCCCCTTGTTCAGGTTAACTGTTTCTCTGGGTTTCACCAGCCCAGGATTGATTCCTTTGCTCATCACTCCTCCCTCTCTGACACTGGGTTCCAGAAGTTCAGTTCAGTGTTTAGTTGTGGGTGTCTGCCTCTGCTTTCATCTGTCACTGGATGGAGGTTCTAGAATGGTATATAAGATAGTCATTAAAATCATTATCAAGGAGGGGCATTTAAGGTAGTCTTTCCACTATTGCTTAGTCTGCTAGTTGGTGTCATCCTTTTAGATCTCTGCAAATCTCACTAGTGCCAGATATCCCCTCAAACCTAGAATGACTCCCCCTATTATGGTATCTCTCATCCTGCTCTCCTCTATTCTTTCCCCAACTCAACAGTCCTGCTCCCCCATGTCCTGCTCTCCCCTCCTCTTCTCCCCCTCTCTTTTTCCTGGCTCCCTCTACCCTCCTGCCATGCTCCCAATCTTCTCAGGAGATCTTGCCTCATTCCACCTTCTCTGGGGTACCATGCATATCTCTCCTAGGGTCCTTCCTGTTGCCCAAACTTTCTGGCAGTGGGATTGTAAGTTGGCACTTCCCTGATTCATGTCTAAAATCCATATATGAGTGATTACATACCATGTTTGTCTTTTTGTGACTGGGTTACCTCACTCAGGATGATTTCTTCTAGTGCCATCCATTTGCCTACAAATTTCAAGATTCCATTGTTTTTTTTCTGCTGAGTAGTACTCCATTGTGTAAATATACCACATTTTCTCTATCCACTCTTCAGTTGAGAGGCATCTAGGCTGCTTCCAGGTTCGTTTCTTCGTATAACTGCCCTGGCTGTCCTGAATTGGCTCTGTAGACCATGCTGGCCTTGAACTCACAGAGATGAGCTTGCCTTTACATTCTGGAGCACTGGGATTAAAGGCATATTCCCCAGTATCTGGCTTCCTATTTTTCTTAAAAGTAACTTATCAATGTCTGCTTCTGACTAAAATCTTTGTTACTATAATATAAAACTTTTGGAATAGAGTAACAATAGTTTACTTGTTTCTACCAATCCCAAAGGTAAAATGGTATTAGATACAACCTGAGACCTATAGCAGAAATCCCCTGCTTGACTGTAGCATACTATACCCCAAGTCTCCCCCCGATATACTTAGTAAATTCCTTGATTTATGTCATTCTGCTGACTGGAAAAGTCCATGTGACCTTCCCTACAGTGAGTTATGTCATCAGGGAAGCCTGAATGGCTGCTTCCAGGTCATAATCTGTCTTTAGTATTTAGTTCAGAATAAATCATCTCCTATTCCTTTGTTACAAGAGCTCTGCTTTGTACATCATTGGGAATAACACAGAGTACCCATATATCACAAACATAATTTCTATTTTACTAATTTGTTTTACTAGTATAAAAACTTTACTATACAGAAACATCTTGGGTAACCTGGATTAATGGGCATGTCTCTCTGCCTTTACACCTCTGACCTACATCCAAATGGCCTGAAACAAAGGTCCATCCTTTCTTTTCTTATGACACTTACTCCAGGAACCTTGCAATTTCAATTCTGTCTCTGCCTCTATGGGATGAAAATCTTTTCTACAGCTCTCTAGCCCAAGCTTGTTCCTTTACAGTGGTCTAGGAGCCATTCCCTTGTAAAATCACGGTTAAGGAATTTGAATTTTCTACTCATTATCCTTGGGAGGACAGGAATAGAACTTTATAAAGGACTTGGTCGGGCCTGACCTAGTGAGAGCACATAGACCCCAGTCATAAAGCTGGGGAACCAGGATTGGAGCAAACTAAACCCCCTGAATGAGAGTGCCAGTTAGGAGGCCTGGGAAGTCTATGTGACCCTCTAGCAGGGGAACCAATAGTTATCCCTAGTGCTCATTCCCTATGGAGGGATACTAGAAATTCACTCCAGATACATGGAGGAGGGCCCAGGCCTTCCCCCAAATGATGTGACTGTAGAAGGCCTCACAATCCTTGGGGAATGGGTGGAGGGCTGGGTTGGGGGAGTTGCTAAGGGGCATGGAAGGATGGGAGGGAGAGGGAACAGGGGCATTGATATGATATGTAAAATGATTGTTTCTAAATTAAAAAAAGACTTGGTCTGAATTCTAAAATTTCTTATTGCCATAACTATATAAAAACAAGTTAGCTTCCCCCTTAGAAAGGACCATCATTAAGTATATGTTTTCCATTTCCTGCTTCAACCCCTCCCACGCCAACCACCCTCTAGCCCTTGTGATGTGGATTGTTTTTCCTTTTTTGCTATAACAATATCCTTTAATAGACCATCCTGAACCTATTTAATTTTGCTTTGAAAATTTATTGCTACTAACTAATATCCAAGTTTATTTCTTTTCCCCAGTGGCTGCTTAATGTCCTTCTCCTGATAATATATCCACCAGGACACTGTGCATTTAGCCATAATGTCTCTTAACAGGTTTTTGTTGATCTTGGCAGTGTTCAATACTAAGGTCATATATTTTGTACAGTGCCTTTAAATGTAGGTTATGGGATTTGGGAAGGAAAATGGCAGAGGCAAAGTCACCCTTTCATCACAGTATGTCAAGGTTGTATTCATTAGTAAGACTATAACTTTCACTGTGTAGAGGGTTTCATTTGTCAGGCATCTTTCTCACATAAGGAATGGGAAACCAGTTCATTAGAAATCTACAGTTTATCTAAAGAATGATGGTCAGGGGCATACAAGGAAGAATCATTGGATGAGTCAGTTGTTCCTAAGGTATCCACTGATGGTGGGAGTGGCATGATTCCTTTGTGAGCTATCCTCAAGAGCCACGTCTGTGTCCTTCATTCCTATGTCAAGCCAGCCATCAGCATGGCACAGTTAACAGGGGGAAACAACACTGTAAACAGTGAGAGATGTAAAGAAAACGAATTTCTGCATACATTTTATCTAATTTCGTTAAGTTTGTGTTTCATTCACTGAAGAGGGAAGATGCCACACAGGAGCTAAAAGGAAAAGCTCATCATTGTATACACTGATTCACACACTTGACTTCTCTCTTCTTCCTTAAAAATAAGACGTTTTCAATTTTTATTTTAAAATGAGACATTTCACTAACATAGAAACTGTAATTACGATTGATAGAAATGACACTTTAAAGCATTTTTCTGAGTTTAACTACTACTCTACAACCTGAATTGTGTCATCCAAATTTTCAGTAGACAGTTCTCACCCAAGTGACACTCTATAGATGAGTTATCAAGGGTAACTGCTATCAGAGGATAGACTCTGACACTGTAAGAAACTTACACAAATAGGAATGAGGGATCCTCAGTCCCCATGAAGACAAAAGGAAGGCAATGTGAACACACAACAAGAAATCAGCCCTCTGTAATCAGGAAAGAGACCTCCCCTCCCTTGAAACAAGCCCTGGCCAATTTTGATCTGGAGTTTTAGACTCTAAAACTAATGTTCTGTTATATTAAGTACCCATTCTTTTTTGGGTGGTGTGAGAGACAGAGCTTCTCTGTGGCGTTGGAGGCTATCCTGGAACTAGTTCTTGTAGACCAGGCTGGTCTCAAACTCACAGAGACCTGCCTGCCTTTGCCTCCCGAGTGCTGGGATTAAAGGCATGTGCCACCACCACCCAGCAGTACCCATTCTTTATAAGGTGTTTGTAACTAATTAATTTACATTTTCTCAACTTGTATTGTTATTTCATATATCATGTTCATTTCCTAACAGCATGCATTTGTTAACATCACTCAGAAAAATGTGATCCCATTGACAGTCATGGAGTTTATCTGACATAGGTTGAGCTATAGCTCAGGGAGCCAGTATGTAGGAAAATCATCCACTACCAAAGTCAGGGTAGGCCTATAGTCTCTGGGTCCTTGTCTCATGAATTCAGAGAATAAAATTCAGAGACAAAGAAAGATTGAGCTTCAAAAGAAAATTTTATTATACAATTATAGGTAAGAATTTAAGGAAAAGACAACAGATGCCCTGGTAGTAGAAGCAAGTCCCCAGAAATGGGAAACCACTGAGATGTTAGAAGAGTTTCGTCAGACTCCAGCCAGAAACTGGGGTGAGGTATGGAGCAGGGAAACAGATGGGATGGTTTATTTAGCCTGACCATTCATGAGGTATTCCAATGTCTCTCAGTTTCCATCATGATTCGCATGTAGTTTTTGGTCAGAGGTTTAAGGGAAGAATTTCTAGCTTTTTGCTACCACAGAACTGCTGACAGGACCAAGAACCCTTCTGACTGCTAACAAAGGACCAGAGTAAAAACTGTCTGATTGTGCATTCCTACCCTAAAACTGACATAAGTTACCTTAAAGCACAATCAGTTTGCTTCTGTTTTTCAAATAAAAATCTTTATTCAGTTTTCTTTAAAAATGAATCATTCAGTGACCTTTACGTTTAGCTACATGTAGGTATTATAATTTATATTAGCTAGTATGTAGGGAATAAAAAATGTGCATGTATCTTCAACATCAAAGAAAAAAATCTTATTATAAACTAACAAAGACCAGAATGAAGGTGGAAGATGAAATACCCACGGATAAGATAAATGTGAGGAATGGCTGTGCTTTACAGGAGTATACTCATATCTCTAAAGCCCAATCTGGGGGCCAGGTCCTCACATCCTCTGGAAACCTGACGCAATTTGGACAGTTGAACTTCCCCAGCCTTTACGATCTTATTATCCTCTTAGTTCCACACAGCTACCAAGATTACATGCCCTGCCACACCAGCAAAAACTCATGGAGAAACAAATGAACAACAACAACAGAAGCTCATCATAGCTATTGACCAGAGTGGGATAGGTGTGACTGGACTTCTGTCAGAGCTTGTGAAAGACTACAAAGACTGGCACCCATGTCCTTAGCACCTCACCCAGGGTTTCAATACTCTTATTCCGGACAAACTTTCAAGGTCATATGGTAGCCCAATGCTTCTAAAATCCCATGCAACTCAGTTTCTGAATGAAATTGTCACCAAACATCATGATGAAAACCTAACTTTGTTTTTCCAAAACAAGGTATGTGCCTGATAGAGTCTCAAGAAAAATTACCTTTGACACAGAGCTCATTATCACACCCACTCCATTTATTAACCATAGCTTCAAACACTTGTCTGTAATTTTAAGGAATGTCACATGCTGGATATCAAATAATATGTCATACTTTACTTGTTCATTCTCATGAAATGAAGCTACTTTCTATCCATGCTCTGATGTGTGGTGGTGGTTGTTGTTGGTGGTAACCAAAGAGCACAAGTTTGTAGCTGCCTGACACAGCTGCTGAGATCCAAACCCTCTTAATCACTGATCCAGCCCCTCAGTCCTACCTGCATATTTTAAGACTTCTGAGGTAGATTCAGAATAATACCTTTTCAACATGCTTCAAGGTAATACCACCGTAGCTATTTTGTATATAGTAACAGAAGAAATACCTCAGTATGGGCAGCTTTTGTAGTGTGGTTAGCACATCAGAGGGTGACTCAGATGTAGAACAGAGTGACGAGAAACAATACCCCAACCCCATTCCTCCATTTCTACATAGACTATATCCACCAAGTGCTAGGAAGTTCTGTTGAGGACCTAGTTGCACTCAAACCTCACACGGTCACCACACCTATTCAGAGGCACACTTTGCTTTACCAAGTCCAGAACGAAAGAAGCCAGGCACTCACATTAGCTTGGATGATAACGTAGTAGCGAGTCTTATCCTCATAGTTGAGTCGTTTCCTCAGCACCACATTTCCAGTCAACATGAGTGGGATTTCAAAGGTGTCGTTGGATGTCTGCAAATGTGAAATACACTAACTTCAGACCAGTTGTAGATTTGCACTGTGTAGCTTGATATTGTGGTTGAGTCCTCTAAATGCTGGAGTTAGCAGGTTTACAGTTTGAGAATAAAGCATGAGTGTTAACTTCAGACCTGACTTTCTTATCCATCAAAGTGATTAACCACCATCACAGAGTTTCCTCAGGGTCCTTTGAATATGATGACTTTTCAGGTATTACTAGACACATTCATCCATAGACCTAGACTGATTCTTAACCAAGTTTATACATATGAAAAAAACTTACCTTGTTATAATTATCTTTGCCATTTGGTTTTGCACAAAAGAGTTCAAATATTTCTAACTTATAATTTCTACTGAATTTCACTTTTCAACACTAGTTACATTCTAAGTATTTTTTCACTTTATCAAATGGTGTGTATTATGATTAACTACTATGGGAGACAGTAAGATGCCTCAGCAGGTAAGTGCTTGTAGTCACACCGGGAGACCAGAGATGGGCCATCTTAACTCAAGTGATTCACATGATGGAAGAAGAGAAAATGATTTCCTCAAGTCACACATTCACTTACACACACACACACACACACACACACACACATCTCAAAGGGTAAAGGTTCATGCTGCAGATCCAAGCCTCAGGATCTGGAACAAACATGCTGAAAAGAGAGAACAGAGTCCCTGTAAATTGTCTTCCGACTCACATACACAGACACACCAAATAAGCAAAAAAACATAGTTATGAAACTATTGAAATAGAATAATCCTGATGTGGGTTAATGTGTTAGACTTTGCAACATCCCTCTATGCATTGAGCTCCTCCCAGAAACATTCAGGAAAATGGACAACCTCCAACAACTTTCAGAACCCCTGCTGTGTTTGACAGCCCTCAACGTTAAGTGCATTCAAGTCCCAGGAGAGGAGAGCTTCACAGGTTAGGGTCTCAGCCCTAGAAAGCTTCCATTGCTTTTGTTTGCTTGCCACTGTGTAGAAGATCTACAATGACCTCAGGAACTGTATCAGTTCCCTCTATTTCCACCTCTGTGACTGGTTCTCAGGGTCTTGTTTTCTGAGTCTGTGTTGAGCAGTTCCTTCCATATAGATTAATTCACCAGTTTCTGCAGGGAGAGTCAGCCTATCAGGGCCCAGGAAACCACAAGCCTTTTACAAACCTAACCAGCCTACCCATAGTCTACAAAAGCAGCAAATATCAAGTAGGAAAGGAGACTCATGGTGTAGCTCTTGCAGGTGAGAAACCCAGTTCTGGTTTTGTGGCTTTCCTGAGTCCTCATATATGTTGATTTGGTTTTCAGAGATGCAGCTGTTCTAGTCAGCAACACTCCTATAAATTATCCCTTACCTACACTCAATAAACTTACCAAGATGAGCTTGAGTGAAGTCATTTGTTTGGCCTGTGATTGGCTTCTTACTGCTGAATACAAACAAATTCCCCAGGAAAGCTTACACATGAGGAGGGAAGGGTTATTTGACTTGGGTCAAGGACAGATTGTTTCAAAAGAAAGGAAGAGGGGAAAGAAGATTAGGATGATTAGGAGAAAGAACAGGAGGAGGAAGAAGGCGAGAGGAAGTCCCGCCCTCAACTCAGCATTGGTGTATTCATAATTCACCACAGCAGTGACCTAATCTAAGTATCTATAAAGTTATGATGAGGAAAGCCTTACTAATATTGGAATTTGTGCTGGAAAACATACATTTCAGTGACTCAAGAGGTATAGAAACAGGTTTTTAGTAAACATGAACTTTATCATACATACTCGTATATGCATATATACATACTTGCCTAACAAATGCATATATATGTGTAAACAAATACACATACACACACACATATATATAATGCATACACATTCACACCCATACACAATACACTTATATTCACACACATATACATGCGCTCAATACACACACACACACACACACACACAAACACACACATACACACAGAGTCGGATGCTTGACCTAAAAGCCTCCTTATCCCTGGACTACTCAGAATTCAAAGCTTAGCTTTTTCCACATCTTTGTTCTTCTAGGGAGGTAATGTCTCTAAGTAGGATGAGTCTTAACTAATTTAATCTAACCCTGATAACACCATTCTTTTAAAATGATGATTAATTGTTGTTTTATGTGCCATTCAATCCTAGGAAATTCAGAAGACATTCTATTAATTAGAAAGAGAGTGATGAAGAAACAAACTCCCCTTCTGCTTTTGGATGCTGTCAGAAGATGAGACCTGAACCTCCACAGCCAATTTGTGAGCATTACTGAAACTGTTTAGAAGTTACTAACATGCCAACAAAGTCAGGGGATAAAATGAGGAGCCCAGGTTTTATCTGTGAGATTTTAGACATATCCAGATGTTTGTTCCACCTTTGAGAGATGATGAATTATGTTTTGGGCCAGACATCTTTATTTCTTGTTTCTAACTTTCACAACTGGAAGCCTTGTGCCTCGCCATGATTTCTGTCTCTGTCTGCGTACTGTGGTCTGCACATCTTCCCATGTGGACTGTGGCTCCCTATGCTTGCCATCTGCTCCTGTTCTGTTTTTTTTAAACTGTCTAAGCAATGTGTCCCTTCTTTCTCTGCATAGTTAAATTTCTGATACTCTGAAACCTTCTGTGTCTTCTCATTTCAGATTAAGACTTTGAGATGATGGCATATTATTCTCTTTCACAAACAAAGCATTTGCACTTTTGTTTTACCTCACAGATTCTTCATGTCTCGAGACTGAGATAACAACTCTTCTATCAACATAACCTAATAATATCTATAATCTTTCCCCATTGTGGTTACTAACAGTTTTTATTAAAATTTTGAAGACTTATTACAAAGACATTAGTAGCTAAGATATTACCCTTAAAAGTACTTTTCAATTGGATTTAATTCCTATAGCTGTATCTAACTGTCACATATATGAGATTTTTGCTTTTTTATTTGTTTTATAAATACTTGGAATTCAAAAAACAAAAGGGGAATGTATATGCTATATAATGAAGTGCTTCTGAATGCCTTAGACACTTCTATACTGATGTCATTAGTTATTTAATTAAACAAGTAGTTTTTGAGCATAAATTTGCTCTCTGAATTTCAGAACTCTTAGGAAAAGTTTTAGAAACAAAATGTAGGCTGTATATTCAGTACACTCTTCATTCCATTTAGGAGTATATTTTACTAAATAAACTCTAAATAAATGCTTTAAGTAGCAAGGTTTTTTGCAAGCAAACACTGTTTTAATGTGTTACAAATGGGCTGTGAGGGAACTGGGCACACACATCCAGTTTCCAGTGCCTGAGAAAGACAGAAGAGGTGGGCATCACACTTCAGTTTCTGGTATCTACCACCCTGAGTGACCCAATCAATGCTGATGGATGTGGCTAATAATCTACTTGAAAAACAGTGAACACGGTGGTGACCCCCATGGCCCTTGGTCATGATTCTTTGTTCATAGATTTGGCCCACAAAGAGTAGTGGAGATGATCAACACCTGATCCAAAGCAGTAGTATATTTTTGAGGTAAAACAACTGCCTCATTGTCAGATGTGGAGACTTCTCTGGAAGCACAATGAGTGTTGCTTTCCAGAATGTTGGAAACTTCAATGTTTACCTCCCATCCTGTATTAAAGAATAAAATCTTGTTGAAAAAAAAACTATTAGTGTCCACTGACTCAAAACATCTTCCCAGCATTCACAGAGGTACACACACACAAGTACCTGGAAATTCAGTAATTTCACAGTTATCAGACATGAGGTCATCCTTCATTTAAGAAAGGCCAAACAATTATGTCACCACTTTAGAAAGACACCAAAGATGTCAGGAAGGTTAGGTAGAATTCCCAGCCCATGTAGACACACCTCTGCAAGAAGGAATGGAGAGGCCTACTGCCATTTCAGAGACTCTGTTCTCAGGGCTGACCCAACCTCATGAGCATAGATGCCATGGCAGCAGAGCTGATGTCTCCATGGAGACAGATGCTCTGGAAGCAGGAAGTACCTGTTCTTCCTCTGCCTCATGCTTAAATCTTCATCTTTTCTAAAGATAAATAATAGATTATGTGCAACTCTCATACCTGTGTAAGATTTAGAAATATCATTTTTATCTCCTCATTATATTTATGTTAGAAATACAGAAGAGATGCTGCCACAAAGGCAGGGACAAAGGGTATTGTCTGAGGCCACGATATTTTTTGACCACATGTTACTAGATTACAAATACATGATGCTACTCAGAATTATCTGAGAATTGGTGATTACAATTAGTCTAGTCACTGAAAAACATTTACATGTGTTTATTCTTGAACACAATGATCTACCATAACGCTACATTCTGAATTCTGGGGACATAATGGCATGGTGGTACCCTCATATAAATCTTCTTCTACCCAAAGCATCATCATCTTTTGTCTTGTATATAAAGAAGTGAACAGACAGCTCAGAATCAATATCTTTTCTAAGTTTATTTCTAACCGAAGACAGGGCAGGACAGAGTTGAAGATTCAAAGTTTCTAGTTGCTTTAACAGTTGTGACACAGCAGCTCACAAGTGTGTCAGTACAGTTCTGCAGTAGAATCGGATAGGCTGAACTGCTTTAGGTTGTTCAGATTTTTAAAAGATGCAACCAATGCTGTTATTCCACTATGTTTTAGGAAAACCAGGGTGGTCCAAAAGCAAAGAGAAGGGAAAGTAATCATTTACTAAAAACATAACTCCTGTGTGGCTCTGTGGCCCTGTGGCCCCATACACATACACATGTCCATTAACTGGGAACAGAAAAAAAGCCAGGAAGTCAAAAGGAGAGGGGAGAGAGAGAGAGAGAGAAAGAGAAAGAGAGAGAGAGAGAGAGAGGGAGAGAGAGAGAGAGACAATGAGACAGAGACAGAGACACAGAGAGAGACAGAGACAGAGAGACAGAGAACGGGGTACATTTAATTTTATAATTGTCTAAGAGAAGGCTGTGACATCAGCGTTACACTGAGACACTTCAAGTCTGATAGAGATCATGGAATATTCATCAGCTGATACATAGGGGTACCAATTTCAAGACAACAAAACCTGATGAAGGGAAGGGAAGAAATACCGGAAAGAAGGTAGAAAGGGAAGGAAAAATTGAGAGGTGACTCTAAACCACGTTTTCATGAATCTCACTACCAGAAAAATCAACTAAGAAAAGCACACACTCAATTGGATGGGAGCTGTGCTCAAAAGAAAACATTGCAGCTGGAGTTCAAATACCATGGGCAGCATCAAGGGTGTCTCTACAGTACTGGACTCACTGTGCTCAAGATCGACTCCATAGCACCCTGACATGGCTGAGAAGGAAATGTTAGCCTTTTTAAAGGGGAGAATCAAATAAGCAGTATTATATTAACCACACAAAGAATTGATTCAGTTACATGAATCTCATGTTATGACACTTCCTGTGCTAAATGCCTAAAATGCCCAAAACGATTAAAAAAGTGGAAATCTTCTTTGTATAGTTTGCAAAGAAATTAAAACCAACGAAATGCAGAGCATTTACACACAAAGAATACAATACCTAAATTGTTTTAAAATATCAAAACAGATCAAAGGAACGGTTTAACAACAGGTTGGAATTGCCTGAAGATGTGGTCACCTTGAACATAGGTCAACGGATGATATTGTGTATAAACAAAAGAGGAAAATACATTGAAAGTGAGTGAACAGAGCTCATGAACCCATGGAAAGACATCAAAATGCCTGGCATTCTTGTAACCAGAGCCTCAGAAGAGGAAGAAAAGTCAGGGAAGTCAGAGAAAACAGTGTGTTAAACAGACAATGGCTGATTTGATTTAGGGATGATATACACCCATTATGAACAATGATCCTAAAAGAAGTTAACTGCAAACAATGTCATTTAGTAATTAAAGGAAACAACACAAATATATAGATACAGATATAGATGTAGATATCTGACAAAGCAGATGCTGGAAACACAACTAAGTATGTGCCCACTTCTCTTATCAGAAGCACCGATTAAAGTGATGTACATGATTAAATGAGTTGTATTACTCCATTACACTGTGCTGGTCCATAGTTTGGAGAAACTGACATAAGTTGGGAAGTGATGGAGGCCAGGCGTACCATGCAAGCTCACTCAATGTCTTAGAGGCAGGAGCGATACAGCCCAACACCAGAAGATTACTGTCACATTGAAACTCACACGTTTCTCAAGAAGGGAAAAATAACATTTTAGTGTGAAATTCCATAATATTTCCATTTTGACTCAAAAAATGGCTTAAGAAGCTGTGTGGACAAATCTGTGAGTTGAATTAGGTCTCATTTCACGAATATCTGACTCAAGGATTAAATATCTGACTTTAGGCAGCAAGTGAAAGAAAACAAGGCAATTTGTATATTTTATCCTGTGCTGTGTAGCATGAGACTAATTTGAAATTATAGTTGTTTGGACATTGAGGAATAAGTAGAATGTTCAAATGATATTCATTAATTGCTAGAGGATTCATGGCAGCAGAAAAGAAAATCACCAGGCAGCTCTGTCACAGATCTCACAACAGAATTCAAGTGGAGCTGAGGTTAACACTAAATGTCTAGGATGACAAAAGGAGTTTGGCACTTTGCCCTGGGGATCCTGGGAGATGGCTCCGGGAGTAAAGTGCTTGCCATTAAAGTGTGAAGACCTGAATTCAAATCCCAAGAACCCATGTGAAACCAGATGCACTAATACAGGCTTGTAACCCCCATGTGCCTACAGTGAGCTAGAAGGCAGAGGAAGAATGCCTGGGAGCTCTAGGACTAATTTCCTTATGTACATGATGCTGAGAAACAGACAAGGCCCCACACCCAAGGGTCTCTTCCCATCTCCACACGTACACCAAGTCACACTCACGCCTACGTGTGCGCGCACGCACACACACACACACACTAGTTAACACAGTATATCAAGTTCAGTGATTTTACTATCTTAATATTTTGACCCAATGAAGAAGACCTCAACTCAGGCACCTCTGCAGTTATCAAGAGTAGTAGTGATGCCAATAGTGAAATTCGGGTTTCTTTGTAATTTTGAGACACTGCAGCTGAATGGCTTATTCGTCTGTAGGTTGTAGGGGACAAATAATTGATCTTAGTAGCAGAACAGCTAATCCCTGAGAGGTAAAGCAGTCAAAGAGATTTTCACTGTGAAAAAGGAACCCGGCTTCACAGACATTCTGAAGGACGGCTTCCCAGTAACTCACTGCTGTCTCAATCTGAAACTAAAACTTGTGTTTTTCTTTCTTTTTTTTTCTTTTCAATGCAATAAGTATTTTGTTAAAATTCATGGGTTGACTCTTTGGTGCTTGCTGTGTTCCGTTTTTACAGCTTGATACCAAAGTCTAGGAAAAGGCTGACAGTTGATCTGGAAGAGTGCCATGCACTCAGTGTTCCTTAGGAAAACCCACAGAAGAAATCAGCAAATGGCTTGGGAAAGCAATGTGCCTGTGATCACTGGCAAGCGCAGTCTTCACCCTTGACTGCTCAGGTTCACGCTCCTTACATCATTTCTGTGAACACTTCACCACAACTGATCATTGCCGGGTTCCCCTCGCATTCTCATTGCTTGGCGTCATGCCCTAGGTCTATGCTTCCACCCCTGTTCAGACGTTCTCTTTTAAGGGAAACAAAAACAAACCCCACCATTTCAAAGCCTTCCCTTGACATTGCTATCTTCCCAAGATTTTGGTTTAAATTCCTATTTTCTAAGTTTCAACACAGGTCATCAATAGCTACCTCATTAGGACACAATGAAAAGCCCACCCTTCTAAAAAAAAAAAAAACAAGCTTCTGTGTTCTGATACATCAGGAAGACATTTTCACCTCAAGACCCGGGTTTTCTCTCCTGAACTACCTGACCTGAGAGAAGAAAGCTGTCAAGGAAGATTCCCCCAGTTAGTTACCTAATACCAACTGGTCAGCTCTGAAGTCTTATACATTCAAGAAACATTATATTGGACTGAAGGAATGAGCAGTTTGTAATTATATTAGGAATATAAAAACGTGTGTGTGTGCGCGCGCATGTGTGCATGTGTTTGAAGGTGTGTGTAACAAGAATTAAAAAGAGGACATGAATTTGGAAGAGAACAGGGTGGGGAAATGGTACAGGCAGGAGAGGGAAAAGGAAGGGGATATTGTACATTACTTTAATTTCAAAATATTTAAAACAAGTTTTTTTAAAATGGAAAGAGGTGCATAGTTGTGTGTCATTCGTTTAATTTCTATAATCAATGACAGCTGAGCCTACATTTGAGCCCTAACTCTGCAAGCCCAGAGATTTATTGCTGTTTCTTCTTCTTAATATGTAAGGAGTGCATGTGTGAGCAATGGGCATGAGACATTAGCTGCACTGCTTTTTATATTCTTAATACAATTATGAAAGAGAAGTGTGACATCAGAACACTCACATGAGAGTTTTTATTCTGTTTATGGAAACCCAGAATATTTCAGAAGCTGCCTCAGGAGTTATGAAGAACTCTGGTTGGGGTTTTCTTTCCTTTCCTCCCCCGTTTTTTCTTTTTATTGAAAATAAATTCTTCTCTCATACGATGCATACTGACAACAGTTTCCTCTCCCTCCATTCCTCCCAGATGCATTCTCCCTGTTCCCCATCAGAAGGAGCATGCCTCCAAGAGACAACAACCAAACACAATAAAACAAGATATAATAAGATAAGGCAAAATCCCTCATAATGAGGCTAAACAAGGCATTTCAATCAGAGGAAAATAATCCCAAGAGCAGGCAAAAGAGTCAGAGACATACCCACTCTCACAGCTAGAAGTTCTCCCTAAACACCAAGCCAACAACCATAACATGCATACTGTGGACCTAACCCAGACCCATGCAGGCCCTCTGCTTTAGTCTCTGTTAGCCCATCTGAGCCCTGCTTACTTGTTTCTGTGTACCATGTCCTCCTGGACTTTTCAGCTAAAGAATTCTGACGTTATATAAGAAGTAACAAGAAACAAATCATTTCATGGCTAAAACAATTAGAAAACCAACACAGATATCCTCTAGACTAAATCAAACAAACTGTCCCTTCCCACAAACAACAAAGGCCATTGCTGTGTGCCATGTTCTGTATAGGGTCTAGTGGATCAAATGGGGCATTAGGGCCATTCTATACCAGAAACACACTTCCTGTGTTTACCAGGTATGATGACAGCAGTAAGATTATCTGCAGCTTCTAGGCTGGTGCCCCATCTTGTCTGTGTTATCATGTGTTGTCACTGGTGATTCATTTAGAATGCTCTGGAGTTCAGTGTAATGGAAACAGAGTAAAAAAATGGTGCATTATATCTATCTCCAAAATAAGCTTTTAAAAATATTCATCAATATTAAGAATAGTGCAACTCAGGGATAATTTATTAATTATATCAGCTAAAGCAACTGCCTACTATATAGCTCTCAGCAAAGCCAAAAATGAGCACCTACCGGGTCTTCTGGGTTGTATTGAATGACGTACTCTATCTGTCCATTCGGGCCATCATCTATGTCTGTAGCTCCGTTGTCTCCTGAAAACCCTGTGAATATTGTGGTGCCAACTGGAGTGAGCTGAAAAGAAAAACAAGAAAAACTGTCTGCTCTCCTTTGAACATCTGTGCAAACCTTACAGCTTAAAAAACCACCTCTGTATTACACAGAAGAGAGAAGTCAGCTGCTCAAACCACAGACTCCTAGTATTAGAATAAATAGACAAATTTGTGCAGTCCACACACAAGAGTTCTTAAATGTGCGAAGTTTGCAACATCAAGACCATGATTGGATAAAGAAACAGAAAGTTGAAAAGCACGCTTGGACCATTTTGCTTCCATTAGCATCTCAGCACCTGTGGAGAAAAATGCATCTGTTTTCTTTTGCAAAAACCTTAATGCATTAAGTTATTTCGCAAGCTAGAACTCACATTGAGGTTGGGGTTTTTATTTTAAAATAAGAAATAATTTCATAGCATCACAAAATTCAGGCTGATGATACACACAAAAGGCAGGTTGACAAATAAATAGCCACTCTGATGCTAAAATCTACTCCTCTCCTCTAGCATAAACCTTCCTTTATATTTCTCTGGCAATCCGAAAAACAATACACTTAGTGACAAAGCCCCAAAGCATCGAATTTCAGCTACCGCAAAGAAAATTTATTCATTTATGTTTGCAATTGTAAGGTTATCCCAGAGATTTATGTTATTTGTGATTTTTATGCTTTCAATTCAGGATTTGGTGTCATCCACATCTTTCACAGCAGATTCTATTTGGTCGTATTTAGTTTCATTTTAGAAATTCAGCAGAAAGGCCACTCTACAAGAAACTTTTTTAGCTTATATTTCTGAAAGGAATAGGAGGAGAAACAATGGCTCAGTCTATCAACAGAGAAAGAGGATATGATTGCTCTATGCAGTCATAGAAGATGTATCTAAACAACATTTTAAGCTAATATTAGAAAGGAACTTAAGTTTTTGAAAACTAGATTGCAAGCTGCAGCGTAACAGAAGATCTTGCCATTTTAATTTTCTTCATGCTACTGTCTCTGTTTATACTTAAGTAGGAATTCATTTTCAGTGTGGAGGAAGGGCAGGCTCAGGCACAGCCAGGTAATCCCAGAGCTCAGCACTGTACAGATGAGGGAGCCTGACTCTGCTCCCTGTTTGTGTGTTTATAGCAAACATCTTAATGCAGATGGTTCTTGCTCATTTTACAGTTATAGCACACTAACATGCACACGTGTGAATTCACACATACAGTAGAGCTCTGTTCTTTATGATCTGCTGGTGACAGACCTGGTGACAGACACATGATTGAAGCTACTAGAAGAGGAATATCTGCGAACAATGTTTGGAGGCTCTCACTGAACATATGCCAATCAAAATCTGCACTAAATGCAAATAAATGGAATAAGGTGGCGATATGTACTATTTTTAAAAATTAATAGACTTTAGGGATAAGGAGATGGCTCAATGGTTAAGGGCATGCCTCTCAAGCAAGAGGACAGGGCCTTGGATACTCAGAGTCTGGGTTATTACCCTGAAGGTATTGCAGTGGCCTCTGATTCCAGTCTCAGAAGACAGAGGAGGGGATTCCAACAAGCTGACAAAAGAATATTCTAGGTGGTCTCTGGGTTTCATTGGAAGAGTCTGCCTCAAAGTCTAGGTAGTCTCTGGATTTGAATGAGAGAGTCTGCCTCAAAGAATAAGGCAGTGAACAATCTAAGAATATTGTGGACTCCAGCATCAGGCCTCTACAGGCACATTCACTTACACACACACACACACACACACACACACACACACACACACACACACACACACACACTCCATACACACAGGCCATACACTCAAACACACCATATCCATACACATGAAAAGAAGAATAGACAAAATAAATACAAAAATATTAGACTAAGCATTTACTATTTCTTGTAATATTGCTTGTATCTTTGCACCTGTGTGCCTGTGTCCAGGTACCCTGTAGGTATGAGTATACAAGAATATTCCCACAATTTATGTCTGTACTAGAAATATTCTTGTATGCCTGTAAGCTTTCCTGTGTACATGTGCCATATGGGGGTGAATGTATAAGCATATCTTCATGTGAACTTCTCTTATTGAGGCACAATCGATGCTTCTTTGTAAACCCCTGAGTATCTTGTGGGGGTGGGAGCCCCCAAGACTGCCTGTTCTTGCCAGGTATAGTAGCTTTTGCCTTTAATCCCAGCACTCAGGAGGCAGAAGCAGGCTGATCTTTGTGAGTTTGAGGCCAGCCTAATCTACAGAGCGAGCACTATGACAGCTAGGGCTACACAGAGAAACATAACACAACAAAGACTACCTGCTTTTTTATACTCTATACCATATGGTATTCATAGTTTGGGGGCACATCTGCTACACAAATCAGTATGTTCTAGATTTTTTTATTTCAATATTTCAATATGCACATTTTAATTTGTTTTTTTAAGAGCCCTATACATAATAAGATCAGCCTAGGCAAATACCTGAGGGTGCCATATACTTATTTAGTTTGTGTCTTTCCCATGATTCATATACATAGCTTTCTTAAAGTTCAGAAACTATACAGATTAACTGAAACATCACAAGCTATAGAAAATCACTAACCAAGCCTGGTGGTGGTGGCACACGCCTTTAATTTAATCCCATCACTCCAGAGGCAGGCAGAGCGTAGGGGGAAATCTCTCTGAGTTCAAGGCCAGCCTGGACTACAAAGTGAATTCCAGGAAAGGCTCCAAAGGTTTACAGAGAAACCCTGTCTCAAAAAACAAAACACACACATAAAAAGAAAGAAAGAAAAACACTACCCAGAAAGTAAAATAGTTTATGAAGTTTCAATAGTGAAAAGTTTTCTTGAATAAAGGAATGATCAAGGCCTTAGGAGACAGGCAAGTTTAGGCTGGTTGAAATGTATGTAATTGGTACATCTGTGTAAAACTCAGGTAGGAGTACATTATTAGGTACAATTTTGTTAATACATGTTATTTATTTAATTAAAAAGATCAATGTTTCCATATGCTATGGCTGATGGAAGATTTTGTTTTGATTTATGAAGTTATTTTTCTTAACAGTTAAGCAATTGTCTTATTTAATGAACAGTAAGAGGCCTAGGCAATCTATGGGGCCTTGGGTAGTAGATCAGTATTTGTCCCTGGCATACAAATGGACTTTGGGTGCCCATCCCACAATGAGGGATGCTCTCTCAGCCTGGACTCTTCAGGGAGGGCCTAGGCCCTTCCCTGAATGAAATTAAATACTCTGGATATCCTCCATGGAGGGCCTCATCCTCTTTGGGGAATGGAGTGGGGACTGGGTGGGGGCTAGGGGACCTGGTAGGGGAGGGCTGGGGGAGGAGGAGAGGGAGAGGGAGGTGGGATTGACATGTGAAGCAAGCTAGTTTCTAATTTAAATAAAAAGAGGCATTAGAGTACATATATAATATTAGTTACTCTGTTTATTGTGCAGATATCATATGACATACAGCTCCTTTTGCCAACTTAATTGATTTTGATCAAGAGTCTCAAAGAGAATATTTGCCTTCAAGAATCTCACTTGATTTCCTCCAGAGAATCACCGTGCTCATTGATTTATATTTTTGTACAGTTGTTATTTCATTATACGTAGGTCTTAAGTTGCATAAAATTACCATGGATGCTGAATTAATGAACAATAACTCTGAAGACCCAAGCAATATTGGGCCACTTTGTAAGTCTCTGCTCACATACTTTTATCTAGTTAGGTAATATAAAGATCTTTCTTACCCACTTCAGTATAAAAGACATTTAATATGTAACTTGGAATCACTAACATAGTAACAACACAAACCCTGTCTGAATGAAATTGATATTACATCCCCATTTTCTCTGTGAGACTCATATTCTATCTTCTTTTGCTTGGGGGACAGTGGGAAGCATAGGATAACAACCAACACTTAACAGACATTTAAGACAACAACATCACCAACAAATTATCATGAAATGTGGGGAAAGAAAGGGTATGCTCAGTGAACTGTAAAGACAATTGCATGCAGCATGGGAACAAGTGTAAGATTTCAGAAGCTGGGGCTGCAGAACCTTGCATGCCTGAGTGCTTTCCTGGGATTGGCTTCTTCCCTTCCCTGCCCCTCCTACAGCACACTGCCATCTGTAAACGCACTAGTCAAGTTCCAGACTTGCACTGGGAAACAACCAACCCTCATTTGTCTGTGAAGAGATGCTACAACCAAAGAGCAAGTTGGGAAGAAAAGGGGTTTTTGGCTCACATTCCCACGCTGTTGTTCATCACTGAAGGAAGTCAGATCAGGGACTCAAACAGGGCAGGATCCTGGAAGCAGGAGCTGATCCAAAGGCCATGGAGGGGTGCTGCTTACTGGCTTTCTTCTGAAGGCTTGCTCAGCCTGCTTTCTTACAGAATTCAGAACCAGGAACCCAGGGAAGGCCCCACCCATGATGGGCTGGACCTTTCGCACCCCCTTTCTCTCCATTCAACTATGGTTGGCCACCTCAGAAGTCTAGTTCGTGACAAGGACCACACGAACCTTCTGTGCTCCTGGGTGAGCTTTGCTGTCTAAGTTGACCTCTCCCATCTGCATTTTCCCCTATTCTCCTCCGTGTTTTCCCTGACTGACCATCTCCACACAGACCCAGGTGCAGATCAGTGGCTATTGAGCCTTTTCTCAGGAGCCCTCTTTGGCTGGTAAGACACTCCTTTCCTCTCCCATTGCCCATGCTATCTCTGCACCCGCAGACCTAGCTCCAGACTCTGGGTTTCGGAGTCATCTTTGCCAGGGCCAGACAAAAGGCTCATCCACTAGCTTTGCATGGCTTCGTTTAGGTCACTCAGTTCATGAACTGGCCTAGTCTCAGGAAAGCCAGGGGATCACATCAGAAACACAACCAAAGAAACAGGTCCAACTGCCTAGGCCAAACTGCAAAACTAACATGGCCAAGACTACACCCTATTTCATAAGAGGCACACTAATGGAATTAGAGATGCAGACTAACAGACACTCAATAATACTAGGTGATTTTAACACCCTGATAAATATTTCTCCAAT